CGAGGGAAGCGGGCAATGGTTTGGACTCGGTTCGTCGGTTGCTGCCGCTTTGGCGTGTGGTGGCGGCGGCGTTAGGTGTGGAGCGGCTTGCGCGGCAGGCACCGGTGGCGAATACAGGTGAAATACAGCGGAGGTGAAGGGGGTGGAAGGGGCTGGCTGCTAGGGCGCCTCACCGCGTATGCAGACGTCAGGTTGACAAGGCACAACCCGTTGCTGCGGCCCATGCGCTCACAGGGGGTTTCCCACATCCCACCCCACCTCCCGCCTCCCACCTCACACCCCACCTCCCGCCTCCCACCTCACACCCCACCTCCCGCCTCCCACCTCACACCCCACCTCCCGCCTCCCACCTCACACCTCACACCCCACCTCACACCTCACACCCCACCTCCCACCTCACACCCCACCTCCCGCCTCCCACCTCCCATCCCCGGACCTCGTTACCCTACCGTGCCTGATCAGGCACCCGGGACAGCCGCGCCGTGCTGCTGCTGGGCCCCCACGGCTGGGTGCGACACCGGGAGGGGGGCGTTACCTTCCAGCTGGACGTCACTCGCTGCATGTTCTCATCAGGCAACGTCACGGAGCGCACCCGAATGGGCTGGGGAAGGGGCCTGTACGGCGGTCCGTACGGCGCCCCCGGCGGCCAGCCGGGGTGGGCGGTTGGGGAGACGGTGGTTGATCTGTACTGCGGTATCGGGTACTACACAGTACCGCTGCTGGTGGTGGCGGGGGTAGCCAAGGTATGTGTGGGTGTGTGGGGGTGGGTGTGTGGGGGTGGGGGTGGTTGTGTGGTGATGGTGGGGGGGTGGGGGTGGGGGTGTTAGGGAGGAGGGATTCGTTCGGCCGGGGGCCCTAGGAGCAGAAGGTGAGGATGGTGGTGGTGGTGGTGGTGTGTTGAAATGAACTGAATCGCGATCAGGATTTGAAAGCAGTTATAAATGTGACCGGGTTGTGACCGGGTGGGGTTCCTGGGAGTTACGGCACTGAATGGCGGGGTGGGGGGGGAGCCCCCTCAGGGGAGGACAAGGGGGAGGTTGGGGGTCTCTTCTCGTCCCCTGCTTGGTTGATAGTCATTGTGGCTCGGGAGCCCAGCGAGTCTCGTCTTTTCAAATCCCTGCATGCCGTACTGTCGTACTTCGTATGTTAAGCTGGGGTTGCGAAGCAGGAGCCATTTTTGCTTTAGTCAGCCCACTTTGTTGACACCCACCCACCCACACCTTTCCGTTCCACTCACTATACCTCTCCCCCCACACACAACCAAACACGTGTACATACATACATACACACACGCACACACGAGCCAGGTTTATGCGTGCGAGTGGAACCCTCACGCGCTGGAGGCCCTACACCGTAACCTGCAACAACAGCCCCTGCCAGCTACAGCCGCAGTCATCGCCAGCAGCGCAGCAGTAGCCGCGGGTCGCGGTGACGGCTGTGCTAGCAACCCCAGCGCCGCCGGCGGCGCCGCCGCTGGCCCAGTATCAAGCCGTTGTGAGGTGTTGCGTGGCGATTGCCGTCTGACAGCTCCAGGGGGTGTTGCGGACCGGGTGCTGCTGGGGCTGCTGCCTAGCTCCCGGGGGGGCTGGGAGGTTGCCGTACGCGCCCTGAAACCCGACGCGGGTAAGCACGTGGCGGGGAATGGGGGGAAGGATGGATAGGTGGGATCCGTTGGTTGCTCAGTCGGGTGACGTTGGTGGTTTGGTCTTCCGGTGGGGGATGTAGATCGGGGGGGAGGGGTGGGGGGTGCGGGCACTTTACAGGAGAGCTTGCTGTGAACAGCGTCAGGAGATGCCAATCCCAGCGCCGATGCACGATAGGCAATCATCGAGAATGATGTCGGCATCAGCCAAGTCGGCAGCCTGGTCGGTTTCCCCCCACGATGTGTCACCGTCTCGCAGAGCCTCATGTCGACGTGTAGCGCTAATGCCCTGTAAATATCCTGGGGGTGGATCACCAGCTCATCTCGCATTCCTGAGCGCCCTGTAAGCGGCCCTCAATGGCATCCCCCCCCCCTCCCTCTCCTCCCTCTCAACGATTTGGGTTTAACATCGGAAGACCCTAACGTCCCTCTTTAGATGACGGTGTAATAACGGCCTTTGACACCCCCCCAAAACAAAATCACAACACAAACACAAACAAAAAACAACACACTCAGGGGGCTGGCTTCACCTGCACCACAATGTAACTGATAGTGAGGAGGCGCAGTGGCTGTACGACACCATGGACGAGCTCAGGCGGCTGGCTGCTGCGGCAGGACGCGACTGGGAGCTGAGGTTGCATCACGTGGAGCGAGTCAAGTGGTGAGCAGTGTTGTGTGCGCGTGTGTGTGTGTATCGGGGGGAGGGAAGAGGTGTATAGCGGGGGAGACTTGCCGGGGGTTTAGTTCTAGGTGTTGCGTTGTGACGACGTGCATGCATGCATCCATGCCGTACGGCAAGCCGCGGGGTACCTAAGGAACGGGATAGAGGTACGGGGCCGGGGTGGGGAGGTAGACAAGGGGGAGAGGGGGAGGGGGAGAGGGGAGGGGGAAAGGGGCGACTTGCACCTGGAATGTGCGGCTACAACACCCCCGGCTACAACCCCCCCGACACATAACTCCCCCTCAACCCCCTCAAGGCGGTGCTTTATCGGTGTTGTGCGCCAGGGGGCCGGAGAAATGGCGGTAAGGAGGTAGCTGCCGAGAACACACAAAAAGAAAAGGCTTTAAAGCTTCAACAGATCAAAGTGACGCTCGTCGTGGGCACCCGTCGTGTGTCAGTCTTCTCTCCCGCCCCGCCCGCCCCCCTTTCCCTTGCAGTTGCAGTTAGTTGCAGTTAGAAATGTTGGACGTTGTTTCCCCTTGTTGACGTGATCCTGGTGTCCCCATAAATTACCCACCGAGTCATTCCCTCCAGGTGCTAACCCCCTCCCCCCCTTTTCCGGCGGCCGCTGAAGTGCTCCGTGTTCGCTGATTCGTTGCACACCGCTACCCCCGCTCCCACTCCCCCAACGCCCATCTTTGACATCCCCAGGTACGCGCCCCACATCCGACACATCGTCATGGACATAGAGTGCCGACCCGTGGGACACGGGAGTGCTGCTGCCGCCACCGCCGCAAGTTCCACGGCGGCAGCGGGATCCGACGCCGCAGTGAGCCCCATGCAAAGCCAGGAGAAGCGAAACGGCGTCCCGTCGCTGTCGTCGCCGCCGCCGCCGATGCCGTCGGGGTCCGTAGCCCCATATCCCGCGGCAACCACCAATAACGGCTCCATCGGCAGCGCCGTGGCGGCCTCTGCCCGCCAAGGGGACTCGTCCGCTGCAGCGACGAGTGCACCAGATGTTACGGCTGGACCTCGCTGGTACGAGCAGCCGTACGACAATCTACGGCGCGTACGGCGTATCGGAAGCGTACTCACCCGTGAGGTATTCGAGCGGGACATCAGTCCGGGGCGACTGCCGGTCATCCTGGAGGGTGAGTGGGCGGGATGGGGGGTG